ACGGTAGTGTTTTAACCGATTTTGCCTGTTTTTTTTTTTGTATGTAAAATGTTACGCGATAACTTCGGCATTTGTGAACCGATTTTGATGATTCTTTTTTTGTTGGAAAGAGGGGTACCTCAACAGTGGTCCCATTTATTTATATGTATTAATTTCAAGAAAATATGCCACCTCTAAGGGAGGCAAACTAAGGGGATTAATGACTTTTGAGGTCGGTTTTTTTTTGTACTCTACTGTACTGAGATTATTATTTAGTTTCGTTTTACGGATAGTTCCTATGCCGACAATCCGTAGCTGAGCGATCTGTTTTTTTATAGCTCATATCAGTGATCTTATATGTAAAAAAAGGCAGATACATGTTACTAGCATCCGCATATTGAAGAATCGATAACTTCTTTATTTTAAAAAAACCAACCTCAAAAGTGTGTTTATCAGCATTTCTGTTGGAATTACATGAAATGCGTGAAACCAGATACATTAGGGAATGTATCTGTTTGCCACCCTTAGAGGTGGAATATTTTCTTCAAATTTAAATGGGACTAATACTGAGGTACCTTCTCTCCAACAAAAAACAGAATTATCCAAATCAGTTCACAAATGTAACATGCACACAAAAAAGAAGTCGAATCTCAGAACCGTCTTCTTTTTGAAGTCGGTTAGAAATCAGACAACAGTACGATCTTGCAATCAATCTGCGTTGAACAAAGAGCCGAATCTGACCTTTGTGAAATTGCTCAATTTTATTCAATTTAGGAACATGTTAGAAAATCTTCCCGGCTACTAATATCAATAAAATGTGTGACGTCTAAGGGGACAAAATAAAATAAGCGGTAATCTTGCATCTGGAAACATGTCTTTTAATATTTAACTTGGATTTTGGAAATTTATTACGTAGTGCTGTGACTGGTTACAGGTTTCTTACCACGGTCTAACACGGTCTGATTTATTTAGTATAAGAGAGGGTCACGGGTTGATTGACAATTTAGTGCAAACCTTAAAAATGTTACAAAGCGAATGTCCGATTTTTTTTTTTTTGAAATCTAATAAATAAAATATCATTTTCTCTTTAACTCTTTATTTATTTAGGTGCTTTGATGGTAGTAAAAACAATGATATTCAATAAAAATAAATACAGACATAGAAGTTTTTGTGACTAAAGTTCTTTTGGACTTCATGAGTACGACCAATAAATTTAAGAAGACTGCTAATCGCGGTACAAGGCAGCGTAGTCTAATAGTACCTATTATAGTTATATATTATAGTCTAGTAGTAATAGTACCTGGTGCACAGCATGCTGATTTTAATTCAAATCGGTAGTCTCGAAATCAGATGAGTTTCCGAGCGAGAAGATGAACCTGATTCCTTCTATCATTCTAATTTGTGAGTTAAATAAACTATGGTTCCGATTTGAAATGTCAAAAGTTTCCGATCGGCCAGTTGAGAATCGCAATTATGCGCCTGGACTCGGAAGAGACGCAGTTTCCGATCGGTAGAGGCAATCAAAATCAAGCTGCAGGTGTCACGATGAGTACCAAATGGCATTTTTGTAACTTATTTGTTAATAATTTACGTGTGTGTGGATTGCGTGAGCACCCTCCAAAATTTTGACTCAAGAAAAAAACTAGGTTCTTCAGTTACACGCACAATAACTTATACATTATTATTATTATTGTAGTTATTTTAAACTCTCGCCTCTCCCAAGGCCTAAAAGATTAATTTTGAATTTTTAAATGGGAGAGGCAGTATTTCCCGGCAATGGCACAGTCGGCCGGGGTCAGGGACTCAGGTCCAAGAATCGGCGAACAATACGTGCCGTATCGAGCAGGACCGCCTTCTGCATTTGTGCTGGAAGCGACACGCCACAGAAATCCAACCGCCTCAAGCTGTTAGAAAGGCTGACTGGAATTAACCCATTTGCGGACAAAACAATTGGGATTATTTCAGTGGAGGCCACATCCCACGTGTCGGTGATCTCGTGCGCCAGGTAGACCACTATTATTATTATTAATGATAGGTATTTACAAAACTACAGGCAGTATGCACATATCATTAAAAAAAAATGAGTGAAAAAAAATTGGCGCGAATTTGTAGTTACAGTTCATAAACGAATTACTTTTTATTATTTATGTTACGATTTGAGTTCTCAAGTATTCGTTAGCGGTGGCTCTATTATGGCCAATATTCAATAAACACCTAAATAATATAATAATGGAGTCTGAGCCCGTATTTGTTCGTTTGAATGATAATGAAGTTGTTATGATGACTATAACGAAGTATACTCAATAATGAATTCGCTCTGGACCTTTTGGAGGGAAAAGTGTCGTTTTTATTTTGACTTTCAATTATTTTGTGAAATCTAGTTTAAAGTGGACTAGGATAGTGCTATTGTGCCTTAATCGAAGATTAAAACGCGAAATGATACAAATCTCGAACTAAACTACCCGTATCGACCTGTTTTAAGGAATCTCGAGTCAATCCAAGCACGCCGCCTCAAATTGCATATCCTCTTTGTGGCCGATGTTTGTGGCGGCCATATTTACAGAAATATAATTAAACTTCTTTCTTGTGGCTTTGCCAAAGCCTTAATAAATAAAAAAATATATACTCAATAATTAACACTTCATATTAATACATAGGTACCTAAATTACAAGTTCATTTTGGCATTTTCACAACGAGTGGTCACCTTGCATTACACATTTTCATACATATAATAGAAAGAAAGAAAGAAAGAAAGAAAGAAAAATAATTTATTTGGCAACATTTTACAATAAATAATACAAAACAAACACAATCAAACATTAGTTTTGTTACCAAAACGGACACCACTCGGCTTTTTGTAATGAGACGTTGAAGAACGCCTCATTACGCTGGTTTTCAGTGGCGCCATATATGGACAAAAAGAAAGATGGCGCCTCGTCAGCAGGCGGGAAGATAAAAATAAAACAAAGAAACTTACTTACAAATATAAATCAAAACTTAAAATATTAAACAAAACCATAAACTAATCCTAACATAGATACATAATAATAAAAATGAAATAAATACCAAAAATGTGATTATAATGTAGTGTAAGTGAGGTGAGTATACGTAGTGTAAGTGACGTGAGTATATGTAGTGTAAGTGAGGTGAGTATCTGCAGTGTAAGTGAGGTGATTAGTGTTAACACATTGTACAAATTGGCTCTGATCACTTTTTAAGAACTTTGCAAGCAATGCACGACTACCTTATGTATTGAGATTATAATTGAGATAATAAAAACTTCTTATAGGCTAATTTAAAAGAAGCAACAGATTTATAGAGAATAAAAAACGAATATCTTTCTAATGAAATAATAAAACGAAATCTGAAACGGCAGATATTTAGTAGTAAATTACTACTAAAACTTTACCAATTATAATCTCTGTAATACTTACAAATCCAAAGATAATGACGTTTGTTACTTTTCAGAAATTGGAGGATTGAGTGAGCACTTAAAAATAATTATTATTCAAAAACGTTTCACATTAGTGGCTTGTTTTATATTTTACAAATTCATATGTAACTTTTACTAAATCTAGACATAAACGAAATTTAATTCACTTATTTGGTTCTTAAGAAATCGTTCCTTTTAAAAACGTGCGGATTGAGTGAGCATAAGAAAGCATTTGTAAAAAATTGAAAAAGTCACTAATCGATCTGTAATTAAAAACGATAGTTTAACTAAACTTTTACTGAAAACTAGTACAATAATATTATATGCAAACTTAATACTTTTGTAGATATGACTAGACCTCTTGAGAACTGAGTGCGCACACATTAAGTAATTTTTCTCTTGTTTTATCTTTTTACAAATAGGAAGATTGGTTTCTACAATTGTTTTAGAACTTTTACTAAATGACTAATACATTTTAAACATTTTACAGAGGGTGCTCACTCTATCCACACACATGTGATAATTTGACGAACTACAAGGCTGCTCCATTTTTTAGTTGTAATAAATAAATCAAGTAGATGGCGCTTATAGTACAGCTTTTTATGAATACTGCCGGCTATACTTTTATTTCTTTAATCGGATCGCGCACTTCGATAGACAAATATTACAAATTTACGCCTTATTGGGTTATGTTAAGGTTTATTTTAAGTAAACGTAAAAAACTGAGCCACGTGAGATAGCTCGAAGAAGTGGTCTGTCCTTGTCTAACAAGTTGCCAACGCTAAATAAAATCATCTTAGGTAGTTTCTAGTCTATTAACTTTTTAAATTTTGGTTAAATAAAATTAGCTTAAAGGTAATATGCTTTTACTGGAATAATACAAAAAATATATATCAACAATAAAACCTTCTATTATGAAGTAGCATATCAAATAAGTATACTAATTTGTATTATGAAATAATATTAGTAGTTTTGGTCATCCATAAGCGGCCACATTTTCTGTAAACATTAAAAAGTTACGAACAATGTGGTTGGCTGAAACATGAATGGACACCCTATCAGAAAGAGACGCATTACTACTTTGAAGCCTCTTACTCGGCTCGTTTTATCAACTTAGTGCGTGGTCCAGTTTAATATACAAGTCCGTGGTTTAGGATGAGTGTCAATTTTTTTTATATGACGCTAAGCGACGGGACCAACAAATCGTGCGCCTGATGGTAAGCGACACGCCTGTCCATAACAGTTGCAGTGCCACTAAGTGCTTTAAATCGCAAAGAGTTGAGAAGCATTGTCAAGTCCCGTAATTTCCAACTGCCTGCAATTTCACCAGCATCCTTACACTTCGAAACCGGAACGCAGTAATGAGTTTTACTGATTGGCGGCAGGATAGGTAAGGTGGCAAGTACTATCCTGGACGAACTCCTTCACGAGGAGTACTACCCATATTGGCAAACGTTAATTTATAAATTAGTTTGCAACACACAACGCCATCTATTGACCCGCATATTTATTGTCAAATTTCAGCTCATGGTCAATATTTGAATAATGTTACAAGTTAAAAACTAACTTTTTATATTTCATATTATCCACGGCCATTTACATAATATAGACTACTTCCAGGCTATTGATTAACGCCATATATATATCTATATATATATCTACTTCGGGTTATATACTCGATGGGTCAATGGTACATAAAAATTATGACAATTTTGTATGCCGCAAAGTGGATCACAGTGTATCAAAATGCATTCTTTGTAACACCTTATAAAGGTGTACCAAAAAGAAATAAATAGTAAACGTTTGAATTCATTTCGTTAAGTCTCCAAACTCACAACACATAAAAAAAATCTTGTCAAAATCACTAGAGAACGGAATAGAGATTTATTAGAGATGTCATGAACAGAGATGGGCAAGTACCTGGATTTTAACTCTGCGCTTTGTTTGTTTTAATCGGGTTAAAAGCCTTTAACGCCCTAAATCGAGGGCATTAACTACATATTTACGACTAAATATTTATAAATCGAGTTTTATGCATTATTACAAAATGTTCATTGCTTGTGTACATATTTTGCCTTTCTATTTGAATCGATTCGCTTGAAAATTACATTGAACCAATACAAAAACTCGTAATCGTATACAGTTGAATCGATTTTCAAAAAAATGGAATCATAATGTGCATCCCTAGAAGTGAGAGTCTACAGGATTACAAGGTGGATATTGTGTGGAGTCTTTTTCATGTATAAAAGATACCACGTCCCATATTATTTTACGCGAATGCTGCCAACGATTTTGGGCATAAACGAGGTTAAAACCCGGCACTAGGTTGTGACGAGTTTAAAACCCGGCACAAAACCCGGGCGAGTTTATTGGGTTTTAACCCACTGCCCATCTCTGGTCACGAATTTAATTAAAACAGGAATCAGACTAAACAATTACCGAAAGTGCATCTAAACGTATTTGTTATAAGGTTGATTTTAGTGTTTTTGACTTACATTAATTGGACAACAACGTGCAACATCTGTGCCTATATTCAAAAAGATTTGAACAATTGATAAAAATCAAACGTAAGCAGCGATATCTATAACTTTAGAAATAATTCATATGTTAAAGAACAAAAGGTGTTCTTTTGACTGGAAAAGGAAATTGTTTAAAAACAATTGAAAATGTTAGAGTTATGATTAATTTTTATCAAGATTGTTCAAATAGTTTTGAAAAGTAAATAGTACATTGTGTATTAAGGGCGGTAAATGAAGTATTACGAACGAGACTATTAGAAGCCCGAAGTCGAAAACTGAGGGCTTTCTGAATCAAGGTTCGTAATTCCCATACCGCCCGTGAAACATACATTGTTTTCATCACACTTGAACGTAAATAGTATGATAGCCCATAACAACCATAATCGGTAATGAGCAGAAAAAATACCCGAAGGTTTTAGGTTTATTTGGGGCATTATAATCAAGTTAGCCTGCGTGCAATCTTACTATTTACGTACAAGTGTGATGAAAAAGCTATTTGTTATTCTTTGGTAACACTTTAGGCCATACATTCTTATCTCTTCAACCCCATCATCGGCTTTTGTATGTCGAAGGCTTCTTTTAGATCCTGCAAAAACAACACGGTATATGTTAGAACGAGATGTTATCTAGACTACTACTACAAAGGGTTCCCTACTTGAGATAGAATGTCGTTTGATCGAACATTAATTGCTCGAAAACGTTGGCGCGATTGTCCATTTGACCTATGAATCGTGATTAGAGCTCACGATTTGCCATTGCATCGATGCATCAAAATCTCGAAACAACATTTGCTGTAACTATCAACAGCCTGTTTGTTCATACATTGAAATGTAAAAGAAAATACAAAATACGAAATATAGCTTAGGTAATAAATTTTTTGTAAAATCACTTTTTTGGCTGTTGAGCGTTGAGAGTAAAGGGTTCTTTTGAGATTTTGATGCATCGATTTTGCGAACTTTAGAACTCACGATTCATAGATCAAATAGACAATCGAGCCAACATTTTCGAGCAATTAATGTTCGATCAAACGGCATTCTATCTCAAGTAGGGAACCCTTCGACAAAATACAGTCTCCATACAAAACGGTGTCATTACAAGATTAATTAAGGAAATATTAATTTGTAATTTTATTTATTTATATTCAGGTTACGAAGACCCATAAATACATACTTTATAGACTAACATACATAATAATTAATAAAACATTAGATGACTAATTATTATTTACACGTATTGTCTGCGACGTGTGACGCAACGTGGGTGTCCGGAAACCGGCCTCGGAAACGTCGGTACATGAAACCCTTCGGCCAAAACTCATCCTTCATGAAGGTCGACAGAATGTTGAGTTAGTATTCTCACCACAATGAATTAAAATTCACATTGTGGCGAGACCGCAACTACTCGACTCTCGCGGTAACATTCGCTTTCAGCCGTATATACCTCACAATATCGGCAGACTTTGTGGAGTAATGAAGCCGTCACAGGTATGACAACGTCGTCGGTATCGCTGGACGCAGTAAATGACCAGATCCCACTCGGAGCGGTGCCACTAAGGTCACGGCTGGTGTACTTATTTTTCCTTTCCACCTTTTTAAAACCGTCCTCGTCCGGGGTGTATTTAATTTGTGGGTTACCTACCGGGTATTAGATAATGTAGGTTTATTGAACGGTTACCACACATATTACACAGAATAACAGCGAGGACTATGTAATCAGCATAGTCCTCAGAGGCTGAGTCATGGACCCTTTTGACATGCTTTCATTTTCTTTTTTTTTTTGTTATTTTGTGTGCTTCTTTTTTATTTTAATTGAATTTATTTTTATTAATTTTTTGTTTGAAATTAATGCATGTGAAATAAAGCCTTTTTTATATAAGTACGTAAATCACAAGCACAGAGAAGAGAACTTAGTAGATGGGTAATTGTTGAGGACGGCCGTACGCGTCTGGCCGATCGGAGCAATAAGAGTAGAATTGCGAAATAATTCAGGGAATCTGATTGGCCGGACGGCGTCCGCGGCGCATTGATATGGCCGGTACGGTGTAGGAGACGCCGTATCGACAGGATCTTGCTTACAAGATCGGAATATCGAATAAGAATGAAAGTGAATCTTAATTCACTTTCATTCTTATTCGATATTCCGATCCGAGTTGTAGTTCGATTTTTCAACTTGTAAGTAAGACGGACATAGAGATAAGGCGTTCAAATAAAGATTACGAAGTTATACGGACAAGGAAACCAACAAGTCCGGGGTCTACTCTCGATCTCCGTCCGAAACAATTACTGCCAAATAAGCAATACTTGACCAAATGAAAAGACGCGTGATGCGAATGAAGCTTCATAATTGATACTTGTCTATTAATTTTGTTAAATATTACTTATTTGACAGTAATTGTTTCGGACGGAGATCGAGAGTAGACCCCCGGTCCGTTTGAGGCGGATTCAGCCGGGACACAATAGCAATACTGAAGGCAGAGCACAAGCACACGTTGAATAAAGCTCAGAACGCAGTAAGGCGAGGAAAGCATAAGCACGTAAATAGGCGCGTGCGCATCAAAGCGGCGTAGGAACGGTGCGAGTGTCCGGCGGCGACTGACACGGGCGCGCACGCAGTAGCCGCATGCTCCGACGCTCGTGACAGTGCAGGGCCGTACTCGATGCAGGGCTGGAATTGGAGTGGTTGCGTGGACACACAAACTAAATTAAATACACCCCGGGGTCGAGCGGATGGAGTCCCGCCACAAGAGAGTATCGCCCAAACATCTGTCGACCTTAATGAAGGAGGATTTTTGGCTGAAGGGAGTCATATATCAGCGATTCCGCGACTGGTTACCTGACACCAGATTCCGTCACACGTCACCGACAAGTGCAACTCGTGTAGATTAGTTATTTAGTTTTTAATATTATATGTATGTTAGTCCTTAACCTATATATTATATGGGTCATGGTGACCTGCCTCGTAGCATGGGTACACATGATAGTCGCGACGCGCGCGATAAAATTGAAATAAGCGCGCGCTGTTGGCTATCTAAATTAGATCTGATTGAGACAGCCAATAGCGCGTGTCGCGCCTATCATGCGTAGCCATCCTACAGGGGCTGATGTAAATGTAAATAAATAATTAAAAAACCGACCTCAAAAGTTGGTGGAATTACATAAAGTTTTATTGAAATGGGTTACTGTAAAGTGCGCGAAACCGTACCGTACCGGAAAGTTTGCCACCCTTAGAGGTGGAATATTTTCAAATTTAAATGGGACCAATATTGAGGTACCCTCTTTCCAGCAAAAAATAATCATCATAATCGGTTCACTAATCGCGTAACATATACACACAAAAATACAGTCGAATTGAGTACCTCCTCCTGTTTTTGAAGTCCGTTAATAAAAAATTAATATGAATTTGAAATAATTTCTAAAGATAAAAAAAATAATATGTACGGGGGCAGTCGGGAAGGACCGCGATGTCGACTCCCCCGATCCCAACTCCACCAGTGTTAACAGTATGTTATGTTACCTGCCAAAGCTGCATATCGATGGAGACAATGAATTGGTTCTCGTCATCAATATCTCTACGTTCCTTCTGCTTTGCCAAGGGTGTTATGAATGGGAGGCCATAGTTATCATCTGTAACACAAACATAATAGTGTACTTTAGAATAGCCCGGTTTATCTACGCTTAATATTAAGAATAGAGATTCTTTTATGACACCAAGTGACAGAACGAACAAATCGTGCACCTGGTGGAAAGCGTCACGCCTGTCCAAAACAGTTGCAATGCCACTCAGAGCGTTATAAAAAAGTTATATAATATGCTTAGCTTTACCTTTCAATAGCTTTGTCTCAGATCTGAGACATCTGAGACGTGCGCCTTAAACGCTTTGTCTCAGATCTGAGACAAGGAGGCTTGGATCACGTTTCGCGCAAAAATAAATTCTATCACCAAACTAAGCCGTCTTTTATTGTTTGAATTCTATTCCCACATTGTTTACCTACCATAAACTACAATTCCTCGAAACAAAGGACCGACCGTTCAGCCGTTACAATCTTTTCAAATGTTCAGTTGCAACGCTAGCGTGTGGGTCGAACTGTTGTGCATTTAAAAGGTTAATTAAATATAACCCTGCATATTTGCTTAAAAATAAAGGCATATCAATGCCTTACTTTCTTAACCTCGTGTCTTATAAAGAGTGATTATTCAGGAGCATAGAAACTTTCTATTTATTTTAAATTTCTTATCAAGGCTGTTAATTTGGATGCATTACTTTAAAAATAGATAAAAGCCAGTGTGTGAATATGAAGGAAATGTGATGTGAAATCAGCCTGGAACGTATATATATATATATATATATATATATATATATATATATATATCCATTTTTTGCATTTCAGTAAGTTTGTGCTTTAAGATACGAGTTTGAGAAAGTAAGGCGACAATATATCGCCTTATTACTAACTCTATAAGAACGTATAGCTTATTACATTACTTAATACACTTATTTACTTAATACACGCTTATATGCTATAAAATAACTCGGTATATCTTAAATATAACCATGTACATATCCTTACCTAGTTTTACCGCAACCATCCCATCTCTGACTAAGAACGAGACGTGGTAGATGTTCTCGATGGTCCGGCTGAAGCTGTCGGGGTCGATCACGACGTGGAAATAGCTTAGAGGGGTGCCTCCTCGCTCCTTGAACGTTTTATTCAAGAACCGATTCACCCGGCTCACCATTTCCGAGCCCTCTTCGGATCTCTCTAATCTGGAATTTATGAAATAACCACGTTTATGTCATAGTACCATAAGACATATGTCGGGCAACACCCGTTTACCCGAATAAACGGGTGTTGCTGCTTTACATTCTCTCTACGTCATGGGTTCCCAAACTTTTTAGCTTACTGCCCACTTAGTATATGTAGATAAAAAGTATGAACGCCCATCACAACAAAAAATAATTAATAATCTCAATACAGAGTACTAAAAAAACCGACCTCAAAAGTACGTGGAATTACATATAATTACCAAGTTTTATTGAAATCGGTTACCGGAAAATGCGCAAACCCGGATTCATCCCCTAGTTCGCCACTACACGGGACTTGACACAGGAGATAATAAAAATCGGTTCTCACTACGAGAGAGAAAAACGCCTTGAATTGGAGAATAGCAAAATCAAACATTAAAATAATAGCTCTTTATAAAAAAAATTAGGCGCTATTTATAAAAATGAATCTTCATGCGTGAACAGCCACCCTTTGAGGTGGATGATTTTCTTTAAAATTATACTTTTTTATTACAGCTTCCAATAAAAAAATTCTATTGTACTAACTTGTCAACAGTCTCCGGAGCTTTTAATGCAGCAGCTTGCTGTCTTTCCACCCTTTTTCGGGGCAATCTGGCCCGTTGCTCTGGGGGGGTGGGGGCAAATGTGCCATGTAAGTACGCTACTGTTGGAACTTCTAGAGGGAACATGAAATCCCAGTAGCTAGGGTTTTCGCGCTGCAATTGAACAATACGAATACGTTAAAAATAATATTAATATAATAATAACGCACACGCACACACTCAACATAGCCCCGCACTAAGGAAACCCTGTGTCGCGGGTGCTATGGACACACACATAGGCAACCACAAATTACACCCACACTCCCACACGCAAAATAGGCGCCTTGACGTCGAGTTGCGGACACCAGCCCGTTACACCAAGTACCAAGTACACCCACACTCATGATAGAAATAAATGTAGGCCATACAAATATTTCTCCAGTCCCGGGAATAGAACCTGGGACCTCTGCGTGGCAGTCCGGTATGGTAACCGTTCGGCGACTGAGGCAGTTACTACATAATAATACATACATATACCTCACGCCTTTTTCCCATCGGGATAGATAGAGACAACAGTCTTCCACTTACTACGGTCCTGACACACATCTTTCGCCAAATCAACACACATTAATGCTTTCATACACGCTCGTCGGTTAAGAGCACTTGACCTGGCCGCTCTTTAGGATGGCTTCAATTCGGACATGGTAAGTTCGCCTTGAGCCCATACCAAATTGCCCGCTCATACTCGCCTTATAAATCTGTTTCGTCATTTTTCTTTCATTCATTCTCTCTACATGTCCGAACCATCTAAGCATCCCTTTCTCTATCTTTGTGACTACATCTTCTTCCACGCCGCAACGCTCTCTTATCACACTGTTCCGTTATTATTTATAATAATGATTCATGAAAATTAATCTTTTAGCATAATTCATTAATTAAAAAAAACAAAAATTCTTAAATTGGCCTATTTAAGAATTATAATTAGCATTTTGTATGCAGCCTTTGGGTCAACTACACCTTAAAAGCGCCCTACGAATTTTGTACAACAACATATTCAGGATGTTGCCATCCACATAACATATCCAGGATGATGCTGCCACGATTTTGCAGAGCATCGGCGATGTTTGCCATAGTTAAGGTTAGCTAAGCTTTGTCGCGGGTGCCATGGACACACACATAGACAATCACAAATTACACCCAAACTCACGAGAGAAATAAATGTAATACGAGTACATTAATAACAATACAAATATTTCTCCCGGCCCGGGAATCGAACCTGGGACCCCTGTCTGGGAGTCCGGCATGGTAACCGTTCGGCCACGGAGGCAGTTAAGATGCAGGCTTTGCAGCTATCATGCGAAAATGAGTGGCTTCCCTGATGCATAGAGTTCGTGGCAGTGACAACAGCCTCCTGAGTATAATTGCAAACAGGGTCCAGGGTTGTAACTTGCAATAAAGGTACTGAACTTTAAATACATTAACAGTCCAGAATTTGTTACAGCTTTTAAAATTAGAAATTACGACCAATCATTATCAAGATTTTATAGTGTTTAACATTATGATAGTCTGAGTTTTGGCGACAGCGATTCTGATAGTAATCGAGTTTTAAGGCACTTCCATTGTTTTTCTTTTCTTCTGTGGAAACTACTTACAATGTGTTGCGCAAGTTCATGTTTATCATAGGCATTGGTGTTAGCGCTGACAGACTCCGAGCATCGTACGGCAATCTCACTAGTAGCCCGGAGTACACGGGAGTCAAGGTAACCTTCACCTGGAAATAACATATTTGATTTTACTATATCATACTACTCCTAAGGCTTATTCAGGTCTACCAATTTTAAATGATCTCAGTTGTGTGCTGATAGTGCTAATGGCACGATTTTATACGTTTGGCATTCCGCTAAAATTGAAGGGCACTATATAGTCTGTCTGTACAATTCTGTCAGGAGAAGTCATCTGCTCACGTCGGAGGTTTAGTGAGGAGTGTCCCCGTCGTCTTTGTCCAAAAAAAGAAAGCTTGGTCGTTATCTTTTGTCCAAAAGAATGTCAGTCTAATTTTGAATTCCTGCCAGATAGATAGATAAATAGATAGATAGATAGATGGACAGATGGATAGATAGTGACAGTTGTGCGCTTTCAATATCCAATCCATAAGTTTGACAAATCGGATTTTGCACGTGTTCGATCCATAGTAGCGATCCTCCAATTTTGACCGATTGTACTGTGTAAACGTGTAAAGATGGAAGTTTTTCTGTGATAGCGACTGTGAACCTGAACATTTCCTCAGTTATCGGTCTGGGATAAAGGACAGCGACCAAGAGCAGCTTGTGTCCTCAAGAACGTTTATAAACTTCATGGTAATTTTAACTGACGCTGAATTTACATCAAAATTTAGGCTCAACAAAACATCAGTTGAATTTGTTTTGAATGAAATAATGCCGTTTATCAAAGTCAAATCAAAACAGTATTTTTATAATTTAGATTATTTATCATGTCATGAATATGAACAAATATCAACAAAACATAAATTGACACTAACATTTCGCCGCGCGTCGTCCCTTTATTTTTTTCCATCCTATATGGCCGTCCCGCTCATTTGACAATAAACGTTCCGTTCTGGACAATAGACGTTCCGTTCTGTTCCTCGAAACACGTTATTCTTGACGTACTTATGGTTTAAATATTATATACTTGAAAGTTTGCAATTAATTTATATTTTTGTCAAAATCACATGTATAAATAAATTAATCTTAGAAACATAACCACCATTTTATTCACTAATTCATGTAATGATCTTTTACTCTGATTGTGTGGAACTAACGTGGAGTAAAGGATGATGGGCAAAAATGGTCGTAAGTCCAACAGAATTGATATATACACTAAAAAAAAGCTTATTTATAATACATAAAATAATACTATGACAATAAGTATCAAAGTCGCCGGAGAATCGAGCTACAGAGTGTCAAAACAAGTGAAAATTAAAAAATACCATTGTCAAAAACACGCACATAAATGTATGCTTTTGTTTATCCCACCACTATTATTTATTTATATAAATTAATAAATTATGTATGCTATAATTACACATTCATTTTTATTCCTTTAAATTCTTATTTATATTATACGTATTGTGTTGTTTATTATACTGTACAAAAGAATATTATATTGTATGTATGTCACTTTGTATGTATGTTATATTGCGTATATATAAATATATATTATATTATATTTCCCATACATCATGTTTTCCTTCTAATAGACAGAATTCATTTCAGTGCAGTCCTTAATATTATTTTTTAATTGTTTAAAGTGGTTAAGTTGCTATAATTATAAATACAATCAAGAATTGTAACATGGGTTGGCTGTCATTGGCCTTATTTAAATTGTACCTATTTTAAGCATATTTTGTAATCTGTTGGCTGTTGCCACCCCAAATAAAATAAAATAAAATAAAATAAAACCACTCCACGCCACCAACCGCCAGTCAGGTAGTCAGAAAACCGGTTTATAAAGCAGGTAGGTAGAATGGAGTGGTAGAAGGGGGTGCGTTTCCCCGAAACTGCGCCAGCGCTGCGTAGACTTTACTTAGTCGTTCTCTTGTTGCTTGTTCGCTATCTTCAGTTACGACTTCTTGACCCGTTATAACTTTAATGGACTACTGTGTGCCTGTGATTGGATCTGTTTGATATAAAATAATTGTGATGGCAGAACGTCGTTGTGTTTTGTGTCCCCGGTCTGTTTATCGACAAAGAAGACATGTGTTGGAGGACGACATTCCTGAGAATCGACCAGAACTGGCAGCATATATACGGCAACATGCCCTGAGACAAGTAGGTATAACTCAATATATATCATTGACGTGCATGCGAAAAGTGATGCAATAAACAAGAATCATTCATGTTACGCTCGTTGTAGTCAGGTGTATTCTGTGAATACGAGGGAGACAGTATAATACTGTTTTTTTTGTATTCTGTCTAACTCTTATGCCGCTTCCACACGTTAGCCGAGTGGAGGCAAGTGCCTGTGTGCGGACAGCCTGTTTGCATTGTGTCCCGACAAACAAGTAAGCAAATCTTGATACATACTATAGTTATATATCGATTTTGCAGGTGGAGTTTGATAACGTGCATTCGCTATGCCACAGATGCTGGCAGCAAGCGATGAATGTTATCAGAAGAAATGAAGAAATACCAACCCAGGAGACAGATCCCCCCTTGAGTACAGCCCCAGGAACAAGTACAGCCCAGATGTGGCAAACAATACATGTACAAGAATACACGAGAGCTCCTAATAGGACTGACCGCTGCATTTTTAATAATTGTCCCAATCAGACGCGTTGCAGAATTCCTCGGACAATCATAATTCACATGTTATGTGATCACCATTTGTATATCCCCGGAGGTGCTAGAACATGTCGTGAACATTTAGAATCTAATGAATGGAATGAACTAAGTAATCACTGTAACGTGTCGCATGATTTTGACTCAGCTAATTTTACCGACGTCTGTAGTATTTTTCAAGAAACTATTAATCGTGGAAATAGGTTTGATTTCGATACAATGACGCAATTAGATGAGAATGATTTATTTTTTTGGGTGGGTTATAATTACGAACAGTTCAATGTCATTTTACATCAAACACCATCCATAAGCGAACAAAGTAATCGTCCACGAACAGTTCTTGGTATATACCTTGCAAAACTTAGAACAGGTGAAACTAATGAGAGATTGGCTACATTATTTGGCATGTCTCGTCGCACACTAGAGAGGAAATTGAAGATAGCAGGGGGTGCATGGAGGCAGATTTTGTCAACAGATATTTAGGTTTCAATCATTTAACGAGAAATGACATTCTCGAAAGAAACCTATTGTTACCAAAAGGGATTTTTGGTGATGGCAACAACACCAAAGCAATAACTATTTGCGATGGTACATACATTTATATTAAAAAAAAGCAGTAACTTTATGTTCCAACGGCAAACCTACAGTCTGCACAAATTCGAAAACCTTCTCAAACCTTTCATGATTGTCTGCAGTGACGGATATATCATTGATGTCCTCGGCCTATATCCCGCAACAATGTCTGATGCAACAATAATGCAAGGAATTGTACATAATGAAGATAGCGCCTGGCATTGGTTTTTTAACCAAAATGACGTATTTATATTAGACAGAGGGTTTAGAGATTGCGTTGCAAGCATGGAAGAATGTGGATACGAAGTGCATGTACCTCCAAACAAAGATCGACACGAAAGACAATTGACAACCGAACAGGCAAATAAAAAACGCGATTAATAACCATTTGTCGATGGGTAGTGGAGACCATGAACGGTAAAATAAAGCAATGCTTCAAACTTTTACGTCGGACATATATAAATCGCGCCCTGCCTCACATGTTTGTTGACTTTAGAATAGCTGCAAGTCTTTTAAATGCCTTCCATCCTGTGTATGAAGATAATAGATATGCAGTTGATATTTTAAACTTAATTCATCTAAATATTAAGACCCCGAATCGGCTGTATGATTATGTTGAGATGAAAAATCTAAACCGACAAAGGAGGAATTTTACTAGAATGGAAGGCAATCTTCCCTTCCTAGAAGATTTTCCACGCCTCACTGAAGAAGACGTAATATTACAAGCTCTAGGCACGTATCAGCAGAAACTTGCCAAATCATACGTTGCAGAACATTTAAATGATGGTGTTTATGTCATAGAAATATGCAGAGAAGACACATTGAACGATCTTTCCGAATGCAACATACTCGAAACAAATGTGTGGTTGCTGCGGGCTCGGATTCAATCAAGACATGTTAGAGCACGCACTTATTATACATATATTTTGATAAACAGAGATCAGGTTGGCAGAAATGCTTTAAATCAGTGTTACTGTACGTGTCTGACAGGAAGAAGAACAATTGGAACCTGCGCTCATGTAGTTTCCGTAATATGGTACCTTGGTTTAGGACGACATGAGCCATTCGTCGCCCCCGCATATCATTTAATGCAAATAATCATTGATGATTAAATGTTAGAGTGTGCCTTTTACAATAAAACAATATGCATAGTCATGTTTTTTTTTTATTTCTCTCTATTTTGAAAAAGGAAAAAACTTGAAAAAAAGCAAACCCGGGGGATATCGATAGTATTATTATTGAAAATATGTTCACTATATCAAGTCTTAATACCAGCCCACGTTACATAACTGTTGGTCTTACGACCAATTTTCATAGAAATTTGCCCATCATCCTTTACGACCGATTCTTTTTTTTTTAAGGGCGCTAGAGCCGAGATAGTCATATTGAAAAACAGATTCAGCGATCGATGGATCGAATAAAATCTGGATAGAAAACAACCTTAGACTCAGGATGAAATATAGAAAACGGCCGTACATGGCCTAAGCGTACGGCTGCCAAGACTGCTAGTCCGCCACTGGCCATTTTACTCCGTCTTCAAAAAAGACAAACTATAAAAACAAAACTAACCAGGATGTTTAACCCTTTCCTCTACGTCGCCTTCAGCCAGCAGCTCCTGCACTTTCTGGAGAGTCTCTGTGGCTGTCTGCTGCATGACATCCAGGTTGTTGCATTCATCTTCTGCAAGGTTACAAATACATTTTAGAAGTTTTTTATGTTTGAATGTACCTTGATATAACCTCAAAAATTACGAATACATTAATTAATATACATACTTCTGTGTGCTTTAATTTAATCAGTATTTAGAACATACTTTAATAGAAAACATTACGAAATTTAAAACCCAAACAAAACTTACCGGCTGTCAATTTTTCAAGTAATGCACGATATCTTAATTTTCTGTCGTAACTTCCCGTGCTGATGCGAGATCGTTGTGTACTATTAATTGTGGACATCTTGCTGGATTTTTATTATAGAATTTCGAAATTAAATCGAAATTTTCAAATCAACCTTAAAACAAACCTACTTTTTTCAAGTTGCGACTTGCGAGTTAGTTTCTCTACTTGTCTACAGTTATCTGTGGAGTTAGTGCATGCGTAAAGTTGGAAGCAAGCTTTCACAGCTGCAAGTGATTAATTTATTTTTTCTTATATGAATAAAATTACTTATTTATTAACTTCATGCTATTTGTCACATATTATAAAACTAAGTAAACTCGTAAGTTACATGACTTCTAAACATAATTTAATCTAAACTAATAATAATCAAAACATGGTACAATTAAGATCACAGCCTTAGTTATATTAGGTTTCAGAACACATATTTTTTTCCGGTGTTGCTAAGTGCTATATAAAATTTTACCAAAAATTTTGGTAGGATTGGAAATGGATTTGAGCCCTTCATGCAGGCTTAAGAGGTGAATCACGGAAAAAAATAATTGCCCGTGGTCCACCCAGGTGAACCAGTGGCCCACGGGCAAGAAGCGGTGTCGTCGTAACTTCTGGTAAACATTCTCAACAATGTTACGTAAGAAGTAACTGTCACTGAAAATTATGATACCGTAACGTGAACAAATCTTTTTACTATAATAAATGAGAAAATAATATTATTGAGATGCCTTATAATATAAAAAACATTGAAATCTACAAGTACACACATGTATACTTATTTATCCTAAACGACTTATTTCGTCAGCCATGAAATTCAAAATAAACCTTAATCTTCCCTCTAACCTTTAAACAGCCTAACTAAACCAATAAATAGTGTTGGATCATCATTGACTTACAATTATATGGACGTCGGGTCCGCGCTAAAAAGTGTCCGAACTTATAGGGCGTTAAAATCGTATACAGAGCGTCATTCACGCTCTTCGTTTGTTCGACAGACAGCGAAAATTAGACAGTACTGCGATGACATTACAATTTAAATTCAACGTTTTAGCTTTTTCATATTCCTTGAAATGTCACTACGTTTAAATAGGTTGACTTGGGACATTTTTCCGTGGTTTTTGTATTAGACCCGTCGTCAATTTATTTGTAAGTCAATCATCATCATCATAGAAATCGTCATAGAAAAAAATCATTTTGCAAGAAACATATTTTTTAGGAAAATAAATATTTTTTCGGATATATTTCCTTTATTTTTCCACATTTGACGTTGACACCTGTCCAAAGTCGAAATTACTGAACGAAAACAATGGAACCAGCAAGAGGTAGTGGTGGTCTGATTGTTGGAGATTTTTTTCACTATTGTGAAATCATTTTATATCTCACTTTTCTTGTAAGTGGCTTATAAGTAGACAAGTTTAATACAAAATTCACGCTAAATAAAACTTAAAAAGATATTTCTAAACGTAGAATGATAAGCTTTCGAAATTATTTTTTTCCAATTTTTTGGGAATTTTTCCGTAAAAATTTCCAACATTTGAAATTTTTCGGAAAATTACCCAAATAAAACACCTAAACATATTACAAGCAAAGCAAAAGATCTTTTTGATCTGGTATCCTCATCATAAAAAAAAAGAAATATGATTGTGTGCGCGGTACAAAAAGACAATACGCTTGATTTTTAACAAATCTAATATAATTGCATATTTTTATGAAATACATTTTAAACTAACGTTTATAGGCACTTGTGTGAACACGCATTGTAATATAGTTGTGTAAGAGTACGTGTTTGTGTGAAAACGAATTTTGAGGTTAGGTTACAATTTCTCGATATATTTTGGGGAAATTTTCGTGTAAAATGGATTCCGGTCCAGCTCAGGAGGTGACTGAGTTGCTGAGAAAGTGGGAGGAAGAGCATACGACGCCAAATTACGATCCCGTACACACTTTGGTTAGGTACGTATTGTTTTCGTAGCTATTTGCGAATTCGTACCTATAGTGTCACTATTTGTCAGTGTTGTATCCCTTGTGTTGTAGGCGTATTTGTTTTGTGAAACAATGAACTGCTGATCCTAGTTACAAACATGATATTAAAAATTATGATATATAAATAAACGAAATGGATATAGTAACACTGGAGTTATTGATATACGTGACCGAAAACCAACTCGGTACGTTACTACGGTGGGATACGACAAGACATACAAATTGTCAAAATTCCTTATTGAAATTTTTGTAAGACTGAATTATCAACTTTTTTCGAGCCGATCTTCACTTACCAGACCAGACATTTGCCCCTCATTAACTGCTATCTGCACCAGGGATTGGAGGGGTTTTGGCAACTGGCTGGTGCAGTGGGTCTTAATTTAAACCTGTGTCAATCATGTTCTTTTTGTTGTGTCTTTAGTATCTTTAATAACATTCGTGTCAGACACAGCTCTGTACAAATGTGATTTGTTCTCCACAACAGTAGTTCCTTAAAGAGGTTCTGCCGAAATTAAATACCTTGCTGCTGCTTTAGCATTGGCATTCTTGATCAATATTAACTGACTGCGTTCATCGAAACTGACACTGGCCCAATCCTAGTGGCCACTTTAAGGAACATTAAGGAAATAATAATAGATCTGGTAAGCTAAGCTCTTGTCGCTCGAATTATCAACAACCTGCTATGTTCAGTTCTTTTGAGTTCCTGACAAGACATAAGTTGAAGTTGACAAGTCCCATGTGCCTGTAATTTCACAACCACCCTTACCCTTCCAAATGCTCACATTACTGCTTGGCGGCAGAAATAGGTAAGGTGACCAGTATGTCACTGGATGAACACTGCTACTAAAAATGTGATTTCATGTCCCCGTTAGAGGGCAACACTGACTTTAGAGTTGCAAAGACAGCAATTGAGCATGGGTCATTCGATATGAGCAGAAACCAACCAAAGTGGCGCGTGTACAAAGTGCCTCTATGCGGATGATTGCTTCTTTTTTTAATAAAACGGACATGTGGCTACTGTTGCATTGGAGAAACGTTGTACCGTGAATAATGACAAGTAGATGACCATTCGTTTGTCGGAAATTATTGACAAACTCCGTAAAATTAACCGTAAACGCCGTATAATCTTGCACCATGCCAGTTCTCACACGGCCAGACAGACAATAAATTTTTGAAGGTGAACAACGTTGACTTTATGAGTCATCCCGCGTACAGTCCGACCTGACTACTTGTGGCTTTTATTTATTTTCAAAAATTAAGAACTAGTTACGCGGTCAACGATTTTCATCACCTGAAGAGGCTGTTGAAGAGTATGAAAAATGTGTTTCAGAGATTGTCATGGAGGAGTGGCATAAATGTTTTCAAAATTGGTTCATTTGTATTTAAAAGTGCATTAACGCTAATGGAGAATATTTTGAGAAACAATAAATTCATCTCTGACCATTTATAGTATTTTTTTCTTATTCATTCCGGTAACTTATAATGTGCCCCACATAATCTGTTTTAATGTTACTCAAATGTTTTTTCCAGGAAGCATAAATACTCATAGAACTTTGCACAAATAAAATAATACACATTTAAAAAAAATACAATTTTATTTATGATGAAAACGCAGATTTTTCCATTGTTTCCGTCGAATTTTTTCTAAAAAAAAACTATTAGATGCACTGTTTAAGTTTTTACTCTGTTCATTTTTCTTGTAAATGTGGTGTTTACATAATACATGTTAATTCTGTTGGGCCGTCAAGATACTGCATAATTTGTTCGGCAGTTGTCAAAGTACATATTATCACTTAGAAAACAACATCGCTTAAGAAAAAACTGCCGGTTATTACTATTGAATGTTACACAATCAATAAAAATAATATCACCAACTAATGCAGTTATTTGTTAGACCATAAAATAATTTATTACTAAGAATAGGTAAAAAATCTTGTATACAATAATATATGCAGGTTTTGTACACTCCTATAAAATTCCTTGAACTTACTTACGCAGCGATGTTTGGTAAGCGACGATATGGTATTTAAAAAATGAGAGTGAATGCAAGAATGCCTCTAATACTCATACTAACTGGCTTCATTCGTGCTTCATTCTGCGAACCACTATAGCTGAGAAGATTGATGTACAGACATATTTAGGATATACCTTGCACAGTTCAAAATTTTACCACATATAGGTTACTCAACATTGGAAAGTTATGTCTTGAAATGCTTGTGTTTGGGTTAGCACTCTGGACTCTTGATAAAGTGGTTCCTTTTTTTTTCCTTTTTGTCAGCATGCAATCGGTCTTATGTGAGACCATAAGCAGTTAATTTGGGACGCAACTAACTGAGCTGAATAGTTTTCCACATAAAGGCAACTCAACATTGGAAGGGTATGCCTGTCATGCCAAAATTTATTAAAAAATGAACTGCTTGTGGTCTCACATAAGACCGATTGCATGTTGGCAAAAAGAAAAAAACAAGTGGTTTCTACTGATTATTAATACTAAGATCGAACGCTAAGAAACATTCCTTCGATCTGACACGACTCGAACTTGCATCTGTTTTGCCAATCTAGAGCAAATGCTCTACCAACGGAGCTGCAGATCGAGATAGCAGACACAGATCTTTATTTTTGGTTTTAAAGGCTTTGTTTTAGCCAGTTCTAATGTGATTGTTACATGTAGTACTCTGAAGTTAATTTCGTGTCTCTGATACTGATAGTGTAAGCAATACCATAATTTGAAAGTCAGGTAATTTGATTTGGTTGTCTAGCCCATTACTGCAATGACTGTGATATAACAGTACATTATTTCAATTATTTTGTATGCACGTAAAAATATACATAATTTCATTAAGAAAGAAGATATCCATAATGTTAACCTTAGAACTAAGTCCAAACTCATGGTACCACGATTTCGTTTAACTAAGGTAAATGATTCTTTCATGCCGAACTGTATGCGTTTTTACAATACGATTCCGGAAAAGTCATTACAAAATTGGAGATTATTTATTAGATAAAGGTGTATGGAAAGACAACATGAGTCTTGATTCCACACAATTATGATTCAAAGTGTATTCCATAGCATTTAAGTTTATTTGAAAAGAGCAATCACTAGAGTTTCTTGCTTGTTCCTCTCAGGGAGGTCAGCATAGTGAACGAACAGTAGCTTCAAAAATGATGAATTCTAGTTTAAAAATGTTACCAATGGAATAAATGATTATTTGACCTTGACTACGAAAATAACATTGTCTTTTCAGGATATCGGAAATAATAGAAGCTGAGACAGAAAACTTTATGAAAAAGGACCCAGACCCATTTGATGAACGCCATCCCTCACGGACCGATCCAGAGTGTGCATTGGGACATGCTCTCAAAGTCATGTTCAAGAAAGACAACTTTATGACTAAGGTAATAAGTAAGATATTTTAGACGTCATTAAGACTACCTATATGGAGAGGAATATAGTCATTCTCCTCCCCTAATTGTTGAGTCACTAGTTGTTGAGCTCCTGTCTCCCAATCTTTTGCCTATGATTGTTACAGTACCTGTATATACTACATGATGTATTTAAATATAGGAAATTTATAGGATAGTTCTGATCTGGCTTTACTTTTATTTTTTATTTATTAAGCGACACCCATAAATAGCAAAGATCCCAGAGGCACCGCCACTGTGCCCGTCACCCTAAGACATGAAGCTGAATGTTCGCATCTGAAAGTTGGGGAGAGCTATAGTACAATCGATGCCCTCAGATAACTAACCCTCTCTAACCGTCTATTTGTGTTTAGAAAGTGTTTAATTATCCTATGAACAGTAAAATTCATTTTGATATGTCTTTTTTATTGCATCGTTAGTGAATGATGTTTTAAGAAAGTTTTGAAGTCAATTTGATCTTATTACATTATTACCTATTATATTACAATAATACAAATTTCAACCAAAACACTGGAATCCCTTTTCACTTTTCCGTTGAAAGCGTAATAAGGCTCTCAGATCCAAAAGGTCGGCTACAGGGTTAGATTTTTTTAGTAGCAGTAGAGCTCCTTGTGAAAGAGTTCGTCCAGGAAAGTACTGCCACCTTACCTATTTCTGTTCCGGTTTTGAAGGGTAAGTGTGTTGGTGAAACTACAGACACATGGGACTTGTCAACTTATGTCACAGGGTGACAGGCGCAGTGGTAGCCCCTCAGATCTTGGCAATTTAAAACTGTGAGTGGCACTGTAACTATTATGAACAGGCGTAAAGCTTACCATCAGGCGCCCGACATGTTCGTGCTGTCATTTGATGTTATACAAAAAAACATGAGTCTGTATTTCGGCACAGACACCTGTGGCGTGTTATCTTTTTCTTTCTTGTTTAAATGCTGCAATTTCTGTAACAATACAATTCAATTTTTGTCTGCAGCTAGTAAACGACTACGTCCGAGACACTTTCTTCTCTCGTCAGAACATCACAGGCCGCGATGTGTTCAAGCTGAATGTAGCCGCCTGCCGACTCACGCTTGACCTGATGCCTGGACTCGAGATGAGCGTCGTATTTCAGGTAAGATTTCAGTTGACGTCACTGTCAGTTTTGCTGGCCCTGGCCGAACGGTTACCATGCCGGGCTGCCACGCAGAGGTCCCAGGTTCGATTCCCGGGCCGGGAGAAATATTTTTATAGCCTACATTTATTTCTCTCGTCTGGTAGGGTGTAATTTATGGTTGTCTATGTGTGAGTCCATGGCACCCACTACTCAGGGTGTCTCTAGTGCGGAGTTATGTTGAGTGAGTGCGTAAAAAAAAATTACGTCAATATTTGAGTTCAACTAGCTGGTCCCCCTGTTTCGTCTACGTAAAATAATAAGTGCTTGGAATAACCTACTGCACTAGTTTTCATAGTTTCATTGGTTCTTCATACAAACTTTCATCCCCTATTTCACCCCCTTTAAGATTTATTTTTGTGACAAAAAGTAGCCCATGCCCTTCTCCAGGGTCTCATCTCTATACTAAAATCATCAAAATTGGTTCAGCGGTTTAGGCGTGAAAATGTAACAAAGTTACGTTCGCATTTGTTGTAATATTAGTTTGGATTACACGACAAAGGTATCAGGAAGCTAAAGTCACAGTGTCCTTGAAGTTATTAAAACTCACTGTGTGGTAAATTTGTTTATCGAGTGAGTCATTCCATGAATAATAAGAATATAGTAGGTTAAATGTGACTTTACAATGTCGCGTTTGTGCAGTATCTCACCCATGATGCGCGCGCATTACCTTGTACGTCGTCATCGCCACTAAATAGAATACGGGTCAGTTCCAAGGGGCTCATGAATTCTTGCAGAGCCATTGTTAATTATACAGTTTCTGCGTACTTGACACAAAACAACAAACTATGTTAAAAAGCACGTGCTCGTGCATAAACTCGTTGTGGGCAAGGCGGAGGAAAACAGACTCCGCGGTTGATCAACTAGCTGATGGAGAGACCAAGTGACCGCCCTCACTGGCCTCCCTATAACAACTGCCCTGGGAGATGCCAAAGACAGAACCAGAGGGAAGAAAATCATCCATAAAGTCTCGAAAAGCTTTCAGGGACCCGACCTTCAGAAATAAAGAACTTCAGGAATAATTTAAGTAGCAGTAGAGCTCCTTGTGAAAGACGTACTGCCACTTTATTTATTTCTGCCGCCAAGCAGTAATGTGGGCATTATTGTGTTCCGGTTTTGAAGGGTAAGGGTGCTGGCGAAATTACAGGCACATGAGAGTTTTCAACTTATGTCTCATAGTGACAGGCGCAGTGGCAGTGCCCCTCAGATCTTTGCGACTTAAAGTTCTGAGTGGCATTGCAACTCTTATGGACAGGCGTGTCGCTTACCAGCAGGACCACGACTTGTTCGTCTCAACAAAAGAAAACATCGTGGTATGCAATAAACAATATCACAGTTAAAGTTGACTGTTTTATCGTTACAGGACAACGACGCCCTAATTCATCGTCTAGTGAACTGGGCGATGACTGCTCCTGAACCCCTCATGTGCTACGCGACCGGGCTGCTGGCAGCCGCTATGGAGGTGCAGGAGATTGCTACCAACTTCAGGTTAGTACACAAGGTTGATTATTAAACCACAAAATTCGGATGTTGATTCCCTATAACCATCATCATTGTCGTGCCTTTATACGGTCTACTGTTTATTTATTTGTTAAACTTTATTGACCACATGACGCAATGGAACACTTAATGCCAAAAGTATTCTCTAACAGTCAACCTTCAAGAAAAACGAAATTCACGAACGCGGCAAATTAAACAAAATATTACGTTAATAGTAACTTACACAGACCACATAAATACTAGTAATAGACTGGTCCTACCCCGCCCGGGGTCCGCGTTACCTAGCTTATGAACAGACGTTCATATGAGTGTCAACAGCGCATCAATCGTCGTTCAAATGTGACACATGATTATTTTGTGGAAAAAATAGAAATTAGCCGAATTGTGCCATTATATCATGTCGCATAAGAAGCCAAAGTTAAAAAATACTCCGGGAGTGATTTCATTTCATCGGTAAGTACTAAAACTCTGTATTTTCTAATATTTTGAACAATACAATACTATAATTTCGAAACAAAACTATTTTCTTGCAACCCGGTAATAACAATGTACATTGGTTGCTAGCCATCGCCACCGTCAAAATAACAATTCGAATGATGCTCAATGAATTGCTTGCACTACCGTCGTATTACACTTGGTACTGGGTCCGTGTGTTGTAATCATTTATCGATATGTAGAAACTCTGTATTTAGAAACCCGGTTTTAGTTTAGTTCAAAATTTTTTTTATTATAGCGGTACCAATGTGTAAACATAAATTGTTTACAGGTGTTTAAAAGCTAACAATTTTGATTACTTAAATGTTTGGTCACAACACTCGCAATAGTTTTTTTAAATTTTCAATTTAAGTAAAAACTGTATATTAATGAAAAAAAAGGAAATATAGATAGAAGAGGTACAGTATCGATAATTTTACATTACACGTAAGCTCGTGGTGTATCAAATGAAGGCTTTATGATTGGAGATTTTCTTTCCCTTATCTACATGATTCCTATCTCCTTACTTGCTTATTATATTGCGTCACCTTCATCCGTTTGAGTTCTTAGTTTTATCACAGGCACGATTTGTAGTTTTTTTATTGATTTTTTTTTAGTTTCCCGCCGGATCCTTTTTAAAGGAGAAATTTGCTGAAGCAACGGACAATAAAAGTTGGGCACCTACTAAATGTAGCACCATTTGCTATAGGCATTTTATGACATCATATTAAATTATATGTATACATATCAATAACAACCGAAAAATTCATTAAGAAATAAATCATTTGGTTAATCAGGTGGACATGAATCTCAAGAGTCTTCACAAATTATAGACCACATTTAAATGTGAAAACATTTCTGAAGCATTGTCAGTTATTTTTAGTCAAGTTTTCATGAAACAAATGATTCGCTTCTTCGCCTTCGGAAATAAGTATCTTCATTTTCTTGACAAGCTCGTCGACGCTATAGGCGTAGTCACGTTCAACCAGTTCAGAAAGAGGTAATTGTTGAACAAATATATCATATTTTTTGGAGAATAAAGATTTTTATGATGACTGTGTTTTAATATTTAAACCATATTTCAACCCTTCCAGTGATCGGATTGACTTGAAATCTAGTAGGTATGACAGTATAATAAATCATTAATACTGTAATTGTAGCATGTAGCTATGTACACGCCTGCGTAGCTAACATAAATTAATATTTGCGTGTAGTAAATACACATAAGTGTATTTGGTAACAAATGTGTGCATGTAAAAGCCAGCTACGCTAGTTCTCGAAGGAATTGCTTTAAATGCCGTTTCATATACTCCGTGATTAACCCTAATTATAACACGTATAAAGCAATGCGTGGTTCAATATTCCGCTAGTTATGAAATATAATGTCGATCGTAGTGACATGTAAAGGAATATGAAAAAGCTAAAACGTTGAATTTAAATTGTAATGTCATCGCAGTACTGTCTAATTTTGCTTGCTTCGCTGTCAGTCGAACAAACGAAGACTAAAGCGTGAATGACGCTCTGTATACGATTTTAACGCCCTATAAGTTCGGACACTTTTTAGCGCGGACCCGACGTCCATATTATTATAATTGTAAGTCAATGTTTTGTTCCAAGAAATTTATGTCCACAGGATTCTTAGCTTTTATGTGATTAGTAATAATAAAACCTTATTACATCCAAATAAGTTTCAATTTTTTTTACCAAAATATTTTTATTATTTTTTATTTTAGTTTGATAATTTATAACCAATCAAAATTATGTTATTTTAGTACTAATGTAAGATTACGTTTTCAAATGTGTGCATGTGGCGACACCGGTTTAAATACGAATGTTGCTTGATGCCATTTCCATTCTTTTCTTTCTTCCGTGTCTACTTATGTATAATAAATATATAACATATATGTATATAACAAACTGTTGTATACTAGACTCCTCTAAAGCTCATGTACGATCTGTTTTATCTGCTCAGTTGATAAGAGCCCTGGCCCCGGTGTGTCAACACACGCTGGTTCCAGTCCAATCCGATCAAAGGAATTTTTGTTTGTGTTGTTCGATCTTTATGTCAATAATAAGGTTACCTATCAGTAGTCCGAAATGACATTTTCCAGAAATAACGTTTGGTCGAATTTTCATTTTCATGTCGGTTGTCCTCCGACCCGCCCCTCAGACGAGTGTGGCCATGCAATGCAGTCTCCGGAGTCCCTGTCCAGAGCCCGGTGGCCTCACTAGGGGATCAGGCGAACAGCAACTGCGTTCGCCTTCTCCTCGTACGTCTGCGCCGAAGCGGGTGCGCGTCCGCCGCGTCCTCACGCACCCGCTCCGCGGCCTCCTTTTGCGACATATCCTCGCCGCAAAAGGAGGCCACCGCCTCCCAGGACTCCTCGCTATCGAGCATGGCGGCAACCACGCCCTGCAGCGTGAAAACAACGAACAACGGTTTCGTTATAATTCGGTTTTCGGTGTAATGAAAATTCGAACAAACGTTATTTCGAAAAAAATATTCGAGTTTGGGATAGGTTACCCAATGATAATAATAATATATTTTGATTTTAAACATTTTGTTCCAGAGATCTGAACTCCATGCTGGTACCGCTAATGTTAAGGAGGCTACACGAACTTAGGAAAAACAAAGAAGATAGTGTAAGTACTTTGCTATCATTGACGAACTCGGTCGTCCAGCGGACGACACAGGGCGTTAAATAAGGAAGTGAAGTGAGTTTAATAGATTTGTCATAGATGGCGCTGCGGCTAAAAAGTCGTTGAAAACTAAATACACAGATCCGACAACAAGCATATAGAAAAATACGTGAGGTCCGCTAGTTCGTGTCGTGGCATAGTTGGCATAGTGTCTGGCACGGTTTGTTAGAAGATGTCGGTTCGAATCCGACCGGATTTTTGTAAGTGTTTGATCTTTGTGTTAATAATTATAACAACCTGGTGAAGTAATTTCACAAAAAATTATTGAATATCAATTCAATACAAATTAAAATATCATATATTATTATTTTTTTCTTAGACATGCTGGGAAATGCTTGCATTCCGTTCAAAAAATAAATACGGAATTTACATGTGCTTATTGTCGGATCTTTGTATTTGGTTTTCAACGACTTTTTAGCGTAGCGCCATCTATGAAAGAATTTCGTCACCTAGTTAGGTAACTTTACAGCTACCAACCCTGGTTTGAGATGTCGCTATTAACTGTAGTTAAATTTTTATTGAATTGATATTCAATTATTGTTTGTGAAATTACTCCACTAGTTTGTTATAATTATTAATACAAAGATCGAACACTTAGAAAAAATTCCTTCGATCCAGTAAATGATATCGACCCCGCCTACGTAAAGTATCGTATGTCGAAATTGCCAAGTATATAGGGGAGCGTTGTAAACTTCTGAATCCACTGAAATAAGCATAATACGTGATTTTATCATTTCTCAGTTTTATTCGGCAAAGCTTGTTACTCACATAGAGTATTATAAAATTCTAGATATCGGCTAGACGATCTATGATGAACTATTAGATTAACACTCTATGTGAGTAACGAGTGAATTTAGAACTTTATAATGCTCCCCTGTAAACTTGGCAATTTCGACATACTATCCTTTATGTAGGAGGGGTCGATATATGATGTTATTTACTACATTTATATGTTATATATTTGCAGCAAAACAGTCAAAACTCTGTAACGCCGCCGACGAGACATTTCGCGAATTTCAGTAAACGACACAGCGGGACCAAATGCAACGGACCCACACCCGACAAAAGAGGTATGTTGGTGCTCACTTAAAGATATATAATTTAAATTTACTTTTTTTAAATGGAAAACCTCCGTGAATCTCTGACATATTAACAAAACTAACTGATAGCTCGCTTATTTAAGTAGTATTTAGTTGCAATAGAGCTCTTTCAGTGAGGTACTGCCGCCTTACCTATTTCTGCAGCCAAGCAGTAATCAGCAAAATTAATTTACTTTTTTTATTCTAATGTAAGTGTGTATTTACTTCCATTTTTATTAACATGGACTCCCGCAAAATAAAGCCAACTTAAAGAGAGTTTGTAAAAAAAAAAAATAATAATCGCTCTAAATTTATATCTGTTATGAACACGATGTACGTGGACAGAAACGTAATTCGCTAACGGAAATATTGTATTTAAATATAGTCAATAATTAACAACGACTGTTGTTAATTATTGACTGAATGTTTGAATGTTTTTTTTTCTGTTTGACCTAATGGTTGACTGGTAGAGAATGCCTTATGGCATTAAGTCCGCCATTTGTACTTCAGTGTATTGTACAATAAAGTTTAAATAAATAAATAAAATAATTTGGTAATAGAACATCCTGAATTAACAATTACCTTTAATCTATTAATTTTTAGCTGTACTGCATTGGAATGCCACTGAAAACGTGTTAAGTCCTCAATACGCATTATGGACCATCGTGCTAGACTATGTCCTTAACCCTTTACTTAATAGTGGACCCGTGACTAGTACTTCAAAAACTTTATCGGGCGTGTGTCCAATAATCCAACGAAAATTTCATCACATTTGGATGAATAATATTGATTATTATTAAGACTGTTGATGTTCCAACTCTCGTAGGATCTAAGATGTTCGGTGGACTGTTCAGGTGTATTTGTTCAGGTTCTTACTCTTCTCGGGATCAGGATCGGAAATAAAACACTCGTTCAACTGTTTACTGACTACGTTTATAGCCCGAAATGGTCCTTCTTATATCCTAATTGTAGCCTCTCATCTAGTGGAGGTGTCGGCGAGCAGGCGGTCGGCGCGCTGCACGGGGGGTGAGGGGGATGGTGACGCGCCCTCGATTGGAGTGCGGGGCGCGGAGTGTTCTCGCTTGCTGTGGCTCGGTGTCCGTAACAAAGACCTTAACTCTCTCTTTAAATGAGAAACGTGTCTAGTAGTGGGACGTATAATGTGTTGATGTTGAATACTGTATAAACGTATCTCTATAATTAGCCTTTAAGTAAGTTAAGAACTTCACTTTGGAGAGTTACCATCACCCACCATACAATGGCATTGGTGTTGCACGTAGTTTCTGCGTGTGTCATAGATGGCGCCTCTTCTCAACTAAAACAATCTTGTATACCAACTTATTACAGGCATACCAAACGACCGCGAGAAGGACGAGGGCGGGGGGAGCGATATGCTGGTGGAGGTAACACCACCAGGCAAAGATCCTGAGACTCCTGTTAAAAATTATAACTGTAAGTAGATTTAGTAACTTGATTCTTATACATTGAATTCATTTATTAATTGCATCATTATGTACATAGCTTCAGATTTTATATTAAGTATAAATAGAAAACATGAACCCTGCAGCGCACAGCAACATAGGAATCAGGTCGATTTTATAGAAATTTATTGGCTATTGCTACAATAGAACACCCATTTTGATAATAAATTTTTATCATTAGCACGTGTTGCTCGACGCTGAAACTTGCCACGATGATTTGTCTTTAGTGACTGAAAAATAAACAACAGATTTGACAAAAGCAGCCTCAATAACATGGCCGCTATGAACTGTCAAAATCTACCCGCCTTTAATGGAAAACCCTATATTTGGCAAAACTTCAATGATGCACATCTCTCATCATCTCAGTCATAGAATAAGGCCGCCTTTCCACCAGAGATGTGCGAGGTAGCGAGACGGTGCGAGAATGTGTGGCGGCACTGTGGAACGGTGTTATGTTTTCCATCAAAGCTGTGCGAGGATGCGTTACAATCTCTTTCAGCTATGCGCGGGCGGGGTACGGTGTGGAGGGGTGAGCGGTGGCGATATGTCACTGTCAGTTAGTGTCATATTTTCAGTAGCTCTATTTTCCTACACCGTTTTGCACACATTCCTCGCCTGCATCCCTCGTACACATCTCTCGCTATTTTGTATGTACAAGTACTTAGCTCCGCTAATCCTTTTCCACCGGAGCTGCACTAAGCGAGGCTAGGAAAATGAAGTAATCTTATTGGTGGATTTTTTCCTCGCACACCGCCTCGCTACGTTGTGACATTACCTGACACTGACACATCGCCGCAGCTCACCCCACCACCCCGTACCCCGCCTGCGCAGAGCTGAAAAGAGTCCGTGACGCATCCTCGCACCGCGCCGCTGCACATCCTCTCACCGCCTAGCTACCTCGCACAACTTTGGTGGAAAACATCACAACGTTCCACACAGCCGCTATACATCCTCGCACCGCCTCGCTACCTCGCACATCTCTGGTGGAAAAGCAGCCTAACCCTTTTCCATCAGAGCTACGCTAGGCGAGGCTAGGAAAATGAAGTAATCCTATTGGTGGATTTTTTCCTCGCACAATGCTTCGCTACGTCGCACATCTCTGGTGGAAAGGCAGCCTGAATGTTTATTATACTTCCACTTGTCCAATCGATTTCACTTAAGAGTCTATACAACTTCAAATGGCACTGGTTGATTCCGCATAACAGTGAAAGTGTTGAATCGAACGCTTAGAAAAAAATATATAGTACAATTGAGGATGTGCACTGATTACTATTTATTGTAAAAACCATTGACTTACAATCATATGGACGTCGGGTCCGCGCTAAAAAGTGTCCGCACTTGTAAGGCGCTAAAATCGTATACAGAGCGCCAAACTCCGCTTTAGTCTTCATTTGTTCTACTGACAGCGCGATACTGCGATGACATTACAATTTAAATTTCGAATAGGTTGACTTGGGTAATTTTTTTCGTGGTTTTTGTATTAGACCCGTCGTCCATTTATTTGTAAGTCAATGGTAAAAACACGATATTTTACAATAGAAAAAAAAAACCAAACTTATCTCGAAAAGAAAAGAAAACCGCTGTATTCGATAGTACCAAGTAAATTTTACATATACCAATGATTTTTTTAATATCAACTGAACTAAATAGAATAGAACACGTATACTATACGATATACATTATTCAAATAGCTTTGATTTAGTTGGTAAAAAAGTATATTCTGAAATAAAGTCAAGTGTCCTTGCCGCTCGACTCAAGCAAAGTAATTGTACGTGAAAAATTTGAATTCGAACATTACAATAATATGGTAACCATGACCTGATGCTGCAACAGGATAGTCTGCAGACTACCCAACTCCTCAAGTATTTACGGTAGAATTATAGTAGAAGAAAGAACTTAATTTAGAAATAGAATAAAAACCATCTATTACAACGCCACAACACAAAAATACACACACAGTAAGAAAGAATAAAAAAGACAAATCAAAAGTAAAACAAAAAAAAAATAAAAAACAACGATGCAAAACTTACCAAATTTTAAATCAATTCACAATTTTTCACAATTATTAAAATTCATGTGTGCGGCTGTGGCGTATGTAAAAGGATCCACTCAGCTAATGTCACAGTCGAATAAAGACAGCGATGCTGATTTTCAGTGAACCCTAAAATTGAGTTCTTTTTGTTATGTAATTGAGGGAAATTTAATTAGTTATATTCATCGAGTATGTAACCAGAAATAAAGGTGAAATAAGGGCCATCCATCCAGGCAACTCTCGTTTACACTGAAATCACAAATTAGAAAGCTGGAATAGTAGATCTGTGTGTACATCTCCATATATACCTAAAGTATTTTGTTTTTATTGTAATAAAGATAATATCTGTAACTATGGGGGCTGTTCCATTCGGTGGTGTGGGAAAAACAGCAAAACATCTAATTACAAAACGAACGGAATCACATTTTATCGGTAATTAAATATGTAATTTTTCAATTTTCGCCCATTATAGCAAAGCTCAAGCCCCTTCAATTGTTTCAAATTCGGGCTGGCCAATCGGAGCGCAGTTGTCACCGCAATGATTTGGCAGAATAGTTTTCAAACAAATTAAATGACATTTCGTCTCTATTTCTGGTTATATACTCGATGGTTATATTATATGTGTTGATACGATTGTTTTTTATCTCGGTCTGTATGTTATGCTACATTTTGAATGGGAAAATACGCAAGGATTTTTGTAAATCGTCAGGTAACGCAATGTCATCCCCTGAGTGGGGAATGATGTCTCCCCCCTCCGCGCGGCCGCCGCCCGCGCCGGCGCCTGTGCAGGACCCCTCCTCCAACTCCAGCTGGGCCGAAATGGAGACCTACGTCATAGGTGAGTCCACGTTTGTTTTTTCTATGCTGTACAAGTTGACGGAATTGTCTTATAATAAACAATCTTTTTGCTTCGCTGAATTGAAGACAGCGAAGAACAACGAACGAACAGTCTAGCACATGTAGGCCTTTGTTCTACGGATGAGTGGATCTGTCTGGGGCATCGTGGTTCCCAAACGGCTGATGAAATTGATATCAAAGCAATTTTCTTTTTTTATTTGGAGGCTCTTTAAACAACATACGCTTTTTTCCCTGTTACTGTTTGGATTCCAGTTAGAGAAAATGAATTAAAAGTTTTGTATTCAGGGCTACAGAGCTCTTAAGTGTTATACTATTTCATTACGCATTACGCCCACTTTAAGTATAAATTGCATATAAAAATTGGTTTTGGTTCACATTTTTTTTCAATTACGTCTGAGTTTTACCGGAGGGCGTTATTTTACTAATTTTAGTTTTATAAGATATAATTGTTTGACAAAGTAGGTAATTATTGTTTATTTGTTTCAGGCAATATTCAAATTCATCCCCCTACAGACGCTACCAAACAAATGCTCATATTGCGGTATCTCACACCAATGGGCGAATATCAAGAGGTAATATTATTAATAACATATTTAAGAACAGTTCCTTTTGTCTTCTCATAATATCATTGGCTGCACTGTAATACTGTGACCCAGGAGTTATGTCGCTACCTGCGACACTAGTCAGTAGTCGCCATGATGAAAGTGTGAATCATGTTTGCCATCGTGATGAAATGATTTACCAATTGGCGTACCGTATTCGCCGATTATTGCCCAGGCTGCGACAGACATATATTGCCCTCGGAACCGGATAGAGCAAACTATTTTTTTTTTATATTATGTAGGCAGCACACAAGCATATGGCCCGCCTGATGGAAAGCGGTCACCGTCGCCTATGAACGCTAACAACACCAGTGGCGTCACGAGCGCGTTGCCAACCCTTTAAGACCTTTCTCAATCCCCTTTTGAAGGAGTCCATGTTGTATTCTTGCATGAAAACCCCGACAGGGGTTCATTCCACAACCTAATTGTACTTGGGGGGGAAAGTTCCTCTGAAACCGTACAGTAAGAGATCGACTCGGTTCCAGAGTGTGAGGATGGACTCTCTGTCGGTGGCGAGCGGTGCAATGATAAAATGTTGCTGTTTGCATCATGTCAAACAGTTCTTCAGATTGTTGGACATTGTACAAGCGATATAACAGGCATAGAGAGGCAAAGTCTCTCCTGCAAGACAGTGGTAACTAACATTTTTATCAAAATTGGATACAAGATTGCTAGATCTAAACGCATCTATTATTATGATTACGCGATGGGTGAACGTATCTCGACGCGGGAGTGAGAGGGAAGGAGTGTGCAAGAGAGAGGGATGATTCGAAATTATAGGAGACGTGCGCGATTGGTTTTGTTTTATATTTTGTTTGGAGATGGAGGGCCCACGACGGAGGAGCAAGATTAAACTTTAAGACCTTACTTATACCTTTTCTTTGATTATCCCAAATAGATATTCGGGATAAGGAAGTACAGGCCAATATAACTATTTTTAGTGGAAATATTCAAACTTACGAAACTTATGATTTTAAGCGGACTACATACATTTCTATAAAACTTATGACTTGAACACTTTTGTAATCTATCTGACTTACAAGTCGAAGGAAATAATGTATAAATAATACAATTCTTATTGGAATCTTATATGCCGATACGGTGTCTCCAACACCTTACCGACTATTAATGCGCCGCGGACGCCCGGCCAATCAGAGCCCTCCAATTATCCAGCCGCATTTGCTCCGAGTGGCCGTCCGTAACAATGAATCTGGAATTAAATCTTAAATATTTTTTGTCCACAGTTCCTATCGCACGTGTTCGAACAAAACGCGCTAGGTCTCATCTTAGGCTATCTCAACGTCCGTGAATCACGGGACTCTAGACTCGCCTTCGAAGCTCTTAAGTACTTAGCGGCGCTGCTGTGCCACAAGAAGTTCTCTATTGACTTTATCAACATGGGGGGACTGCAGGTATAGTTGTTTATTCATTCACAGTGTATTGCATACAGGGTGCAACAATAAGGTACTACTACATTGTAGCAGTAGCGTTCGATTATCAGCAGCAATATTAATAAAAATGCAAGAATTCTGATAAATAAACTTAAATTTATTTAGTTCGCAAACTGGTTTACTGGCAATCGGTTCTAGAACGAAAATATTGACATCTGCCTAAACATGTTTTTTTTAATACTAATATAGCAAAGTAAAATTATAAAATTACTATCTAACAAGGAGGCTAACCTTGTAATACAAAAAGTACCTTCCCAGTTCAGTTTAGCTTGTCACAGCACTGTTTTTCCTATAAGTCAAAATTGACAGTGTTGCCTTTTAAAACACTATTTTTGCTAATTGCATGTTGTACAATATGTAACAAATTTTCAAAACGGTTCTGTTTAGACAGTATTGATTTCTGTTTAATTGAGCAGTAAGTATGTAGAAAAGAGCAGCTATATCCCTAGAGCTTTGCTTCTGTGGCTGATATAGTAAATACTACTATGTAACAATGTAAATACCAATGTACACATTTCTAGTTTTTTTGTTATCAATTTGTAGAAATATAGTATTGATTAGAAATATAATGTTCCCTTTTTGGTCTTTAACCTTTTGACCGCCACTGACAAAAACTAGTTTCGTTCCCTAGACGCCAAGCCTATATAGTGATGTGAAGAACATAACTGAACATAAAATGCATATATGAAAACATACTTAAATAGCATATACAAATACGACAAGGAATAACTTAATACTTAACTGTCTAACTCAGAGGTCCTATCCTAACCTCTGCGCGGCATGGTAACCGTTCAGTTTTGCAGTTTGTAAGATACGAGTTTGAGACAGTAAGGCATAGGTTATTTGTATATTATGTTTTCAGAAATTTCTCGAAGTGCCCCGACCGTCGGTAGCGGCCACGGGTGTGTCGATATGTCTATACTATCTCGCATACTGCGAGGACGCTATGGAACGAGTGTGTTTGCTGCCGAGGAAAACGCTTGCAGATTTAGTCAAGTAAGTATTAAGTTTCAATTTTTTTTTTAATCCAAGTGATGGGACGAACAAGTCGTCCGCCTGGTGGCAAGCGACACGCCTATCCATAACACCCTTACCCTTCCAAACCTAATTCAAAACCTAAAACAAAGTCATTATCGCCATGCAAATATTTAATTAAGTAGATCAATATTCCATTTGGGAATATTTTCGGCTATATCGGAATATCCGGGAATGTCACATGAAATTTTGAATTTATTGTTTTGCATTTACAAATACTCAAATATTACGAAAAGTGAATTTGCACACAAAAATTAATATTTGTAATTTGAGAGTATATAAAAAAGAGAAAACTTTGAAATATAAATCCAGTGCATTTCCAAGATTCATATTTTCATAGAGAAATTTTTAAACAAATTCCAAATAGTGTAAGCTTTTTGTATTTATTCATTGGTTATATAATTAATATCATAGAATTAATATCAGTGACTGATTTAAGTGAATCTTTAATACTTCCATTTAATTTTGGAAAAAATGAAAGTAGTAATATTATCAATAATAATATTATTATCATACATTTATTTGCTTAAAACATGGTATAACAGGAGATGTAACAAGAGACAGTGTTAGTATAAACATGTTTCGCATACATTAAATAGCATGCAAATGTCTGATTATACAATGTCAATTGACTACTATTGGCCGAGCGCCTTTGATTTCTGCAGAAAAATCGACACTTCTCCGAAGTGAGACAAATAGTCACGAGCGACTGCAAAGTTGTGACAAGCCACGTCAAACGAGCTCTGTCCACGTTAGCGCTCGCCCTCACTCGGTCAGCTATAGTGCGCGCGGAACTAGCTGGCCGCGCCTTAGGTAGGGACAGGGGTGAGGGGGCGGGTTGCTTGCTGCTCGCAACGCACATGAGATTAGACAGTGACGACCAATCTCGAGATATCGTGAACAATAATTGTTCAGTTATTGAAAAGAAAAAATTAAAGCCAATTGAACTTTTACAAGTTTATATTATACCTATCTAATTAATTGCAATGTACAGTCGGCAGCACATCAGGCCGCCACAAACTGTCAGATTTCCTCAATTGATTTTCAACTTAAAGTCCAGGGAATAGAGTATAAAATTGATTGGATAAATTTGACATTTATGTATTGATGGACTTGCTGTTGTCCGTACATTGCAATTAAAAGTAAAATAAACCAAAAACAAATTAAATGAAATTCTTCCGACATATTTGAATCATTTATGAAATTATTATTAATTAATTAGTGTAACTAACACGACTTTGTATTTATAGATATGAAATTACTCTGACATATTATCCTCTGAATCACTTGATTCTGAATTGTCTGAACTTGAGTCAGAATCATCTTGTAAGTTTATAATGAATTCGTCCATCACAGTATCATATCTCATATCATGATTCCAGTATTCTTGTTCGTTTTTTTGTACGTGGTCGTCGCATTTTTGCCATTGTTCGGCAGAAAATTCAGAAAATAGTCTTGTTAGTATTGTAATTTTCTCGTCCAATGTAGCATTAATGTGATCTCTGGCCAGGCAATTTTTTATATTTGCCCACACAAGCTCGATTGGGTTGAGATCTGGATGATATGGAGGTAGTCTTAGAACAGTATGACCTGCACCTTTCAGAAGTTCATCAGTCGTGTATATTTTTTCTGATTGGGTCGTATTAATCAAGCCCAAGAGTTCAGCTTTGACCATCGTGGGAGAAAAGGGCACGTTATGATTTTGCAACCAATTCTGCATATTAATTTTCATACAGGACATAGTCGGTTTCTTCTCAACTTGCACACAGTGGTAAGCTGCATTGTCCATAACTATGACTGAGTTAGGTGGAAGTTTAGGTATTAACTTTCGATCAACCCAGTTGTAAAAATTTGTAGAGTTCATGTCTCCATGATAGTCTCCTGTTTTTGAATCTGATTTAAAAATTAGCAGAGCATCGTCAACTAACCCGTTCCGACTACCAGCGTGAACTATTATTAAACGCCTTCCTTTGCCTATATCTGCATAAACACCAGGCTCCGACGAAGATTGCCAACATTTTTGGACATTATGACTTTGGTTAACGTAAGTTTCGTCCAAAAAGAATATATTTCGTTTGTCTTCTCTGAATTTTCTTATGGCCCTCAAATATTTCACTCGCCATTCAACAATGTTTGGTCTCTCTAATAAAAGGGATCTCTTCGATTTACATTTTTTAAATGAATATCCCAGTTTGTGCAAAAGTTCTCTTAAATAAGTTAATCCGCAATCTAAAATATTATCCTCTTTTAACACAGCATCTAGTTTTCGTAGACTTGGATTTGTTTTCTGTACCGTATAAAACTGATTTATTTTTCTTCTTATCACTCCTAAATCAAAATCATCAACTTGTATTTTCTTTTTTATCTCTTTTGGCCTTCGTGGAGAACTAAATTTTGCTTCCCCTGTATTTTGCAAGGATGTTTTACTTTGAGCAATCACTCTCCTTACACTTCGTTCTGATATCCCGGTTGCTTCTGCCACTAATTTATGAATATTCGCATCAGTTTTATATTCTAAACTATTGACATCGGCTTTCCGTTTTTTAAAAAACGTATGCACTTTAAATATTATTTCCTTAGATTGTCTTTTTATCGGCGGACTCATCTTGACATTGCAATCTCTTGTGCGTTTTGTCTAAACTAGCCAGAACTGTCAACGTGTGTTGCCGCCGCGAAGTCCGGCGCCGAACTGAGTATTCTGAGTAATGACATCAAGTGCCCCCGCCTCCCCGTCCCACCGCTCACATACCTAAGGCGCGGCCAGCTAGTTCCGCGCGCACTATAGGCGAGTGACACCGAACGATGGCAAGGCAAGGCAAATAGGCTGTCTATACGTTGGTATTGGCCTTCACCCGGCAACGTTAGACCAACATGGACATTGTAAAACTGGCTTTATAAAATAAAATTTTTTTAGTAGCGTTGTCAGTGGGATAAATTCGGAAACGAGTGGATAATTTTGTTCTCAGGAACTGAGAATGCCTAGTAAATGAGTCTTGTTTAATCTAAATTAAATATAAAATTATTTACCAATAAACCTAATGATGGAATTGCATTATCATGTAATCTTAGTTACATTCAAAGTTATGTTAAAATTTGACTCTTCAAAATGAAGCGAATAAATGAAGATGATTCAATGTTTATATTCGGTACTATTATACGGCGGTATGATTTCCAACCATTCTTTTTTTTTTATTTGTAGTTAAACTTGAAATAGTAAAAATAATAATAATAAAATAATGAAAACCTCGTAGTGAATTATTTTAATAATAGAATATCGATAATAGGTACGCTTCCAAGAACAACACTATCTCAAAATAATCGTTAACAACAATCAACAGAATATACAAACAAAGAGGCAATCTGAAGAAACCAAAGCAAAATTTGGCAAGATTTATGAATAAATACTTAAATAAGTCTAATTACATGAGATATTTGGGCTTTTGTGTGATTTATGGACAGAAAAATAACACGTGCCTGTACAATGTTACATTCCGACGATCTTTTGTTGTTCAAATTTCGTAATTTCGTTGTTTCAAATGCCACATCCCGTAATGCTGCAGCAACGATTTTCATTAGTACTTAATTGTTCTCACTGTCAATATTTTTGTCCATTTTATTACAATACATGCGAATAATTCAATAAAATATTAGGAAAAACATTTGTTTTGACATTTGATGTACTTCCCTTTGACAACCGTATCATTTATTTATTTTATTTATTTATTTATTTATTTATTTATTCATTTATTTCAGGCAACTAAGGCCCATATAACAAATACCTTACAGACTAACATACATATAAAATAATATAAACTTATTAACTATTTACACGAATTACTATTCGGCGACGTGCGACGCAAACAAGTGTCATGTATCGTTCCTCTGAACCGCCGGAACATGACACCCTTCGGCCAAAACTCTACCTGCATGAAGGTCGACAGATGGACCGTTGGGACCCTCACCACAAACGAATTAAAGTTAACGTTGTGGCGAGACTCCAAACGTTCGACCCTCAGGGTGAATTGGGCTTTCAACCGGATATACTCCACTATATCCTCAGACTTCGTGGAGTAATGCAGTCGAGACAGGTACAACTGCGTCGTCGGTATGGCCGCACGAAGCAAGAAGTTCTGTCCCGTTGGAGCTGTGCCACATAGATTTCGGCTGGTGGGTTTCTTTCTTCTCTTCTCCACCTTTGTGAAGCCGTCCTCGTCGCACCTGTCGGTCTGCCTCTGAGATTTGGCACCTGTGATTCCAGAGACAGGCATTCGGGGTTTACTACCGCCCTTTGCAGTTTTCCGCAACTCGGGTTTTGAAGTCGCGGTTCCGCTGCTAATAGTCGCGGCAACAGCGGCGTATGCACGCCCGGGCGATGACGTGCATACGGGTGACGTAACCTCCGAGGCGGAGGGGCGGGCAGGGGGGCACGGTGCATTGACAACAGCAATGACCGGCGACATACGAGCCGACTCAATACTGCCGACGGATGCTTTTCGCGCCCCGCGACGCGTGTTGACGTAGGAGACTGTCGGTGACCTACATACCGAAGCGGGGTTGCGTAACAACGCAACTTCGGCACGTAGCTCACTTATGGAGTTATTCGACGCCTCCAATTTTGACTGAACTTCAGCCAAATTCGACTTCAAGGACGTGATGTCCTTTAAGAGCCTGGTGACGTCGACGTGGTCAAAGGTGACCGGAGGCAACTTGTGCAGATCCTTCGCCACGAAAGTAGGCACGTCGTCCGGATCGGTATTCTTCAAGAATGCAGTAACATCCTGGACACTCTTCAAGCCTCCATCCCTCCGACGAGATGGCATCTGCTGCTCTTTGCCGCAGCTCTGGAACAGCAGCACCTTGCCACTGCAAATCTCATCTTCGTTGAAATTAGATTTGCAGATCTGCTCGATGCTGACTTCATCCATTGTGTCGATGGCATTCTGCACGAATGCCAAAAACTCATTGACAATGAGTTGTTGGGAACCCATTGTCACTTACGTACATGCAGCAGCCTAAGCCGCGCAAAATCGCGAATTAAAATAATTCTCGCAAAGTAGTGCAGCGCGTCCGTTTCCGATCACACATTGAACACGACACGAATCGAATCATGTACCTCATGTACGGTGAAATGGACACGGTTGGCATTTAAGATGACGTTACGTATTTTCGATTCCCGTGTTTGACACAGACCAATGTAATGCTATCTCTTTTGGCTTAAGACGGCACGCAATAGTTAAACAAAGACAATAACATGTTTATGTTTCCAACGTCGAAATGCATCATATACATATAACGTCTGATTTATATATGTCAACATAACATGTCCTTTAGTTTCCATAGTCTAAGGGCCAATCGGAGCGCAGATGTCACCGTAATGATTTGGCAGAATAGTTTTCAAACAAATTAAATGACATTTCGTCTCTATTTCTGGTTATATACTCGATGGTAAAGTCGCAGTACTTCCCTGAACACTTTGCCAAGGAGCTCTACTGCTACTAAAACATATTCTTGTTTAAAAAAGTTCCCGGTATATTTTAGGTTAAAAAAAGGGAAGCCACTGAGCACGGGTCTCCTTTCGGGCGAGGGCTTAGGCCATAGTAGAGACATGTTTTTCCGAGGGTTGCGAATCTTCGAAGTGCAAGTTTCATCACGATGTTTTCCATCAAATTTCAACTTAAATTTCGCTCATAAATTCCGAGACACTCAGAGGTGCGAGCCCGCATTCGAACCCACGACCCTCTGCTTGAAAGGAGGTAGGTCAAATCATTAGGCCGCCACGGCTGCCTGAGTCATTCGTGACAATAGAACCTGTGTGAGCTGGTCGGCAGTGGAACGTATATTGGCTGGTCTACACGTACTAAGTGACTAAGGAATTAACTAAACTTAGTGTTAAGTTTTCTCACAGATTGCTCTACGGCAAAAAAGTTAAAAAAACAAAAAAAAAATCTACAACAAGCACAAAGAAAAATTCGTAAAGTCTGCTGCTTCGTTTCGTGGCTCAGTTGGCATAGCGTCTGGCACGGTTTGCTAGAAGACGTTGGTTCGAGTCCGCGCTTTCCCCGATAGGCGTAGCTTTATTAAATTGCATTTTTGTTGAAATGTATGAAAGTAATTATAGCTTCACGATTAAAATTATTTTTTGGAGATTTTCTCCGCTAGTTTGTTATAATTATTAATCCACGCTCACGCCTGCACTTTGAATGAGCCCTTAGTGAGAATAAATGTTTAAAACCATATTTCTATTTCAAAATTAACATTGATTAATTATAAATAAATCAAATATTATTATTTGTTTCAGATATGCCCTGTGGTTATTGGAATGTTCGCACGATTCGGGCAGGTGTCACGCCACCATGTTCTTCGGCCTCTCATTCCAATTCAGGGTGATATTAGAGGAGTTCGACAATCAGGTTTGTATTCAAATAAGTCTTTATTTCAAATGTCACTCAGTAAGGCGCAAGTTACATCGCCGCGGAATGGATTGGACACAAATTATTGTAACCATAGCATAATTTCGAAAATGAGAAATGAAGTATTTAAATTAAACAACAAATTACGAATCTGATACAAATTTGTTTTTACTGCGTAGGAGTCTTTTTTATTCAAAATAACTTCTAAAGTAATTGAAGTAGAGTTGTTGCATCGGTTTGTAGTACAACTCAAAAATTAACAATGAAATACAAAAAAATAAGTATGTCAATGTACTTTTTTTTGTTGTATCTTTGAAAAACTAGAAACAATGCGAAACAATATTTGTCTTTTTTTGAATCACCCTTTTGTATTTGCATAAAATGTACTGGGCTCATGTTTTTTTGTTGTTATTTTATGTAGTTAATATTCCTAGCCTTCGAATGATACCAAAATGTGGCCTAATTGAGTCTATGAATCCATCTCGCAAAAATTAAAGTAGCTGTATTTTAATTGGGTGAGGAACCGACACTCATATGGGGGAGTTTTTTGTCGATAAAATTTACTGTAGTTAACCCTTAAATTTTTGCACTGCTGCACTACATCCTCGGACACATTGTATAATATGAAATATAGATTGTAATTATCTGAATTTTCTTTTAAAATTTCATTTAACTAGAATAATATAAATAACACAAGGAATGTCTTAATATTTATTTATTAATTTCAACATAAAATTAAAGGGTTTCATTGACGCTTTAAGGCGTCATTGGCGTGGCGTGGCCAATTTAATGTATGATGTTAACCGGGTCAGATTATGGACCATGAATTTTCAATGCATAGTCACATGATAATAAGGTGTTAACAATATTTTAAAATTATAATAAGTACATGTGTTACCCTGTAAGGGTGTTTGCAAATCGAGTGTCGCTATACTAGTGTCATTACATAATAATATTACATTAACTATATGTCTAAAATACTAGACTAATTTATTTATTACATAATACATTGCTAATATTATAAATCAATTAATCAATATATTCTACACATTATTTGTTTCCGTTGTAAATAATTGTATAGTATTAATGTATGTATATTGGTGTAAAAATTATAATTATCCATTATTATTATTATTTGGTACTAAATTTTTTAATATAAAATAAATCATCAAAATTATAATTAAAATATTCAGATAAATTATAATAACTCTTATTAATTAAAAAACATTTAAGTTGCCTTTTGAAAGCCTTGGATTCGTATATATATAGGAATTTGTATATAATAAGTTATAGTAAATATTCAACGTTATTCAACTCCTTATTTGCCAGGACGGCCTGCGAAAGCTGTACAACGTGATATCGACCCTGCCGATCCTCGGCTCGGATGAAGAGGAATCTCGAGTGTCGGAGGACGAGACTTGTGCCGCGCGGCAGATAGTGCGGCATGTCTGTGTTGCCCTTAGGAGGTAAGATACCACCATAGTATATTATATTTTTATGTATGTTAGTCTCGTCAGAAATAAATAAAAAATAAAATAAATAGTATAATCAGACAAGCAGTGTAACCCCATACAAATGTCCACAACATAGGGGTGGAACCCCAGCCTACGTCAGTTTGTTTGTTTCTTAGTCATTAAAGAATAAATAAATAAAGAAAGCGTGAAACACAGAGAGAGCGGGTGCGGATCGAACGCGTGTCGGGTCAGGACTGCGGCGGTTCTAATTCCGAATATTTATATGAATGACTACACACCCGACACGCGCCCGACCCGCACCTCCTCTCTGTAGTACACGTTTAATACTGCAAAGTTCTTCAAAACAATTTTTTTTAATGTGTTTGACATGAACTTTATTTTCAGGTACCTAGAAGCCCATTTACGGTTGCGAGCGACGCAAGTGGCGAGACAACAAGGAGACATCGTGCCAGAGCCTCCGTCTTACAAAGTGAGCTATAATTAAATTTCACGTAAGGTTTTTGATAATATAAGGCGAAAGTGAGCGGGCGACTTGTACGGGCCGACCAAGGCGAACTTACCATGACCAAATTGAGGCCACCCTAAAGAAGGGCCAGGTCAAGTACCTTAACCGACGAGCGTGTGTGAAAGCACTGATGCGTGTTAATGAGGCCAAAGATCTGTGTCAGGACCATAGTAAGTGGAAGACTGTTGTCTCTACCTACGCCGATGGGAAGAAGGCGTGACAACCACTGTTTTCATAAACACTTAAACCTATTTAATGGTTGTGATTTTAGTGAATCTGGCAAACTATTATAAACTTTGGCACACATTAACTTCCTTTTTTGGAACAATGCCTTTCGTGGTGTTGAGTGCATTAGGGATGGACAAGTGAAAAAAAAATCGAATCATTCCGTCCGGATTCGAATCGACGTCTCCTAACAAACCGTGCCATACTCTATGCCACTAAGTCACGGAACGAACCAGCTGACCTCACGAATCCTTCTATGTGCTTGTTGGCGGATCTTTGTATTTGGTTTACAATGACTTTTTAGCCGTAGCGCCATCTAAGAGAAATCTATGATACGACGGTTCGAATCTAGCCGGATCGAAAGATTTTTTCTAAGTCTTTGTATTAATAATTATAACAAATATATCGATATTTTGCTATTACTTGCATTTCGTAACTCTGGTACTCATAGTACAGAGCACTATGTGTACCAGATAGTAGAAGTGCTTAGTTTGCGTGTCACGTGTGCCAACAGTTCGCAAGCATGAGCTCAGTCAGCCATTTTCGTTTTGCACGTTATGGTCGTGTCGTTGTAATATTATCCAAAGTGGTGTATCATAACATCGTTAAATATTATTTTATTTAATTTGAATAAATTTTCAAGTTTCTGTTATTCGTAATCATTTTTTTACAAGAAACGAAAGTGAAACATATACCGCTACAATATGGTCGCTTCTGTTTTCGAGAACTAAGTAAACGTATAGAATTCGTCATCGTTCAGTTATTAACCGCCAGATGGCAGCACATTCATTGAAATTTCAATATAAAATCAAAACGTCGTAACTTGCATTAATAGGTTTTGATAGATAGATTGACTTACAAATAAATGGACGACGGGTCTAATACAAAAACCACGAAAAAAATGTCCCAAGTCAACCTATTTAAACGTAGTGACATGTCAAGGAATATGAAAAAGCTAAAACGTTGAATTTAAATTGTAATGTCATCGCAGTACTGTCTAATTTTGCTTGTTTCGCTGTCAGTCGAACAAACGAAGACTAGAGCGTCAATGACGCTCTGTATACGATTTTAACGCCCTATAATCTCAGACACTTTTTAGCGCGGACCCGACGTCCATATAATTGTAAGTCAATGGTTTTGATGGTATAATTTTCAACTATATGCGTACGGGGTAAATTTAAATTATATTACCAGTACAGAATTTATTTCTTTTTAAATTTGAAACTACAACCAACCATTGTCAAGATTTCGTAGTGTTTCAAATTGTGAATGCGTGAGTTTAAACAACAGCGGTTCTGAAAGCAGTGGCGGCTTAAATCACTTCCATTGCTTTTTTTCATGGTACAGGATATTCGCTACTTCGAGATCATATTTGACGCATTATTATGATTACAATATTTTTTGCAGGCATCCAAATCGTCTCCAGAAGAGATACAAGAGCAAATTGAGCTTCTCCAAAGCGTTACGTGGTCGCGATGGGCGCCAGTCGATGAACTGGTGGAGCTGGGTGGCGTATCTTTACTACTACAGGTCGTTGGGTACGCGTACGAGTGGAACTTCAATGGCAGGTTAGTACACAGAGATTACAGAGTACTTGGTGTATGAACGTTGATGCAAAGAATTGTGCTTAAATTCTCTACGTTCGCGGTTGTGTGTCAACTCACCAAAACTAATTACATTTTTTTTTATAATTTCAAGTGACGGGACGAACAAGTCGTGCGCCTGGTGTTTAGTTACACGCCTGTCTATATTATTTGCAGTACCACTCAGAGCTTCAATTAGCAAAGATCTGAGGGGCACTGCCACTGCGCCCGTCATCCTGTGACATAAGTCGCATGCGCGTGTAATTACACCACCACCCCTTCAAAGCCGGAACGTAGTAATGCTCATATTACCGCTTGGCGGTAGAAATAGGTAAGGTGGCAGTACTTCCCTGGACGAACTCTCACAAGGAGCTCAACAAAAAACTTTCAACTAATTACAACTAATTAATTTGTATATCTGTGGTAAGAAAATCACTATCTTTCTGCACGTAAAACTCAATAACAAAAAAGCTATAAACTTAATAAGAGTTTTATCTGCAGAAAGATGGTGATTTTCTTACAACAGGTACATAATTTAGAGATTTTTTGTGGAAAACGTCACTTGTGTAGTTTTACCTTTAAGCAGACGATATGGTCCTTCGAGCCGGATTGTGAGTCAACTAGTGGCAGTAGAGCTACTTATGTAAGCATTATTGCGTTCTGGTTTCGACTCGTGAGGGTGCTGGTGAAATTAGAGGCACTTGGGACTTGCCGGCTTATGTCTCAGGGTGATGGGCGCAATGGCAGTGCCTCTCAGATCTTTGCGATTTAAAGCTCTGAGTGCCACTGCAACTGTTTTGACTTGTTCGTTCCATAATTTGATATTATAAAAAAAACAAGAATAAACGGATACGTATTAAGAGACTGGATGAGAGTGAGGCAGGCGAAAGTGTTTATCAGTAGCGTAGCAAGACTAGGTCCGTTAGCTCTGCCACCCTCATTGGGACATCGGCGTTTGTGTACTTGTATACATAGATAATCCGGTATGTTTTTTTTTGGCACAGATCCGAGACCGTGAGGTCGGCCCTCGACGTGGTGTCAGTGTGCTGCGTAGCCCCGAGGGTACAGCTTCTTCTCACAGACAAAATCGACATGCGGGACGCTGACCTCACTACTGGCATCAATATCGTATTAGGTAATACATATAAATACG